TATATATATATATATATATATATATATATATATATATATCTTTGCTTAACAACTAAGTATATTAGTCAATCTTTTGATAAAGAGTTTTTTTGTGTGTGTGTTTGGTGCGGGAGCTAGGGCTTGAACTCAGGCCTGGTCGCTGTCCCTGAGCTTGTTTGCTTAAGACTAGCCCTCTATCACTTCTGGCTCTTTGGTGGTTGATTAGAGATAAGAGTCTTACAATTTTGGACATTTTCCAGCATGTTTGGGCTGACTTTGAAATGTAATCTTCACATCACAGCCTCCTGAGTAACTAGGCCACCAGTGCCCACCTTGATAAAGGTTTTTATAATTAGTCCCAAACTTTAATCCAGGAGCTATAGCTTTATTTCTTCCTGGAGAGTCACAGCAGGTTTCATGTATGGAAAATGACTTCTGCACCCCTCAGGAAACCCACAGCTGTCTCCCAGACACCGATGGTGAACTGAGTATATCGTACCTCAATGCACTGCTTGATCCAGAAGTGGTTCCCCATGGCTTCCCAGTTCTGGGAACACGTCACATACAGCAGGCGCTCGTAGACCCGGTGTTTCATTGAGTTGTCAAAGACCTCAAAAAACTTTGCTCTGATGAGTGGTTGGGCACAACGCAGTCCAGAGAGGAAAGCAGGCTCGAGCTTTGCAGTCAGCTCACTCCCAGACAGGGCTTCATCTCTACGGAGATTACAATCAGAGGGGTCACTAGTGAGGCTCAGGTCCTGAGCAAACAAGCTGAGCTGTGGGGTGAGGGGAATTGACACAGATAACTACTGTCCAAACACCACAGCAATGGCCAAGAGTGTGTTTTCAGTTCTGACAGACTTAAGCCACATTTCAGTAACAATGCTAACATACATTATACGAATTATAGTGAAATGAATATTTTTAAATTTATGTGTGAGACCGAAGTCATGTTGCACTGCTTGGAGTACATCAGGACCAGTACGTATGTGTTAACATTTGATTAACTGCTGTAATTACCTGTAGACATAGTTAACAAGGTCTAAAAACTGGGCATTTAATTCAAGGTCTTCTGGGAAGCGTTTTTCTATGTAGGTCATCATTTTCACCAGCAAAATGGACTTCTCTCGCAGTGTAGGTGTCTACAGATTTGTTTTTTAAAAGAAAAGCTTGATTACTTCCATTTGAAAAAAGACATATTTACAAGTACTTCAAGCTGGTCACTGGTGGCTCATGCCTATAATCCTAGCTACTCAGGAGATTGAGATCTGAGGATCATGGTTCAAAGCCAGCCCAGGCAGAAAAGTCCCCGTGAGAATCTTACCTCCAATTAACCATTCAAAACATGGTGCTGTGGCTCAAGTGGTAGAGCATTAGCCTTGAGCACAAGCAGGTTCAAGGACAGTCCAAGCCCTGAGTTCAAGCCCCACAACCAACAAAAATTATTTTAGCAAACTACTCTGCTATTCTATAAGCTCCTACAAATTTTATCAAGTATAACAAAAAGGTAATTTCTAAACAAAACTCCAAGATGACTGGTTATCTTAAAATCAATACATGCCAATATGGTTTATCATGGAGCAGTAACTGACATTAGAGAGGAAGCTATTAAATAATAAAGCAAATTCCAAGTCCATAGCACCTCACCACTAACCCCAAGAGGCATCACCACTAACCCCACTGTGCTATTAGTACAAGCATTCTCTGGTCCGTCTGCCACCATAAAAGGGTAACAAGATTCATTCAGTATTTAAACACAAGTGATCAGTTAAGCTCAAGATTCTATTTAACACCCATTCAATGCTTACACCAGACTCAGTCCTAAGCGAGCAAAGACATTATGGAGGTAAAACTAAGAGAAAACAGTGTTTTGCTTGAAGAAGTTTTGGAAGGAAAGATGAGAAGGTGCTGCTGAGATCTTTTCCCCCTCGAAGGCTAAGCACATTACTTCTCCAGTTCACCTGGTTGGCTGCCATTGGAGAATTGTTCTTAACCCACTCTTCCACAATTTTCACCACGGCCCGAAGGATCTTGGCATCTGGGGACTTCTCAATGAGTGATGTCAGAATAGCTTGAATGAAGTTCTTGCGCATCTCCATGCTCATCACAGCCAGCCTCGTCTTCACCAGCTCCAGGCTCAGCATTACCAGCTCACTTGTTCCTGCTCGTGTAGCAAAGACAACACACCCAACAAACCTCTACAGACACAGCTTAACGGACTGTCACCCTGCACTACTTGGGAGTGTTTTCCCCCTCAATCTTTTAACTAGCAACTGGAGCTCTGGAGTTTAAAGCAACTTGTCAGTATTTTAGTGCTGGACCTCAGAAGAGGGGGCCTTCTAGCCAGCAAGGAAGCTAATGTGGAGACCACCCCAACTTCTCCATACCCTTCTCTGAGGCCACAGTCACAGCACCTGGGTCCCAATGCTGTCTATCAGCCTTGCTAATGACAGCACCCTGCCAAGTCCCACCCTACCCACCTGGAGGAAGCTGTGACCTGCTTCTTCAGAAATGCCAACTAGGACTAAGCAGTTTGTCTTAGAACAGCCTAACTCACTCAGTAGTGCTTGTGAAGGCTTAAGCTAAAAACACAATAACCAAGTTTTTTTTTTCATTGGTTTCTAATGGTCTTACTTGGGAGTTGAAACCTGTTTTAGAACCCAGGTTTTGTTTTAATAATGAATTTCATGCAAACCACAGAACTGTGAGCAAGCCACGTTTACATTAGAGTTCAGTGGCACAACAGTTTAACAGTTTAACAGTTGAGAAAACCTGGCCCAGGTGGTCACCTGCAGCTGCCTCAGTGCTTCCAGACGCAGCCTGTGGGTTTAAGTGCTCCCGGACCATCTTCTGCAGGGAGCGCATGAAGACAGAGATAAGCCTGTCGATGTAGCTTGGATTGTTGCTACAGGCTGACTTGAGGATCATCAGGGTCCCTGAGGCACAGAAATTAAGGTTTTATGACAAAACTGAGTAGCAGAAACATGCTTCTCAAACATTCTGACAAAGTACAGACTAGTCCCAGTGCCAGCCCAGGAAGTTTTTTGGGTGGCATGCCTCCAGTTGTACACCCTACATTCGAAGTATTGCTTTCCCATTTTCAAGCTCGACTATGTCAGCACTGTGCTCAGTACAAACCATGCATTTCCTTCAGTTCTGGATTTTTTTAGCTGTTCACCAGCCATGTCAGTAAGAGTTTTTTATTCCATGAAAAGGAAGAAAGACCTTTCTTTTTGGCCTAGCCAATCTGATCACAATAAATAGTTCACTTTATCCTGAAAAGGCCTATCAAGATGCAAAATTAATATTTGTATTTTGATCCTGAAAAAATGAGTATCAGTTAAAATCAGCAAAGTCAACAATGGAATGTTAATACTAAGTACATAGAAAGACTTTATCTTTCATAACTGATATTTTTACTATCGCCTTGATCCTGACATCAACATTATATTTTGATCAGTGTTCATGGATCTTACCATAGATCAATCTTAGGATATTTGCTACTGACAGGTACCAGCACCCCAGCCTTGGACAAGGGTAGGTGTCTTGCTGAAGGCAAGTTCTTCATGGAGCAGGCAAGATATAGCCAGACTGACTCTTAACACATATAACCCTTAACATTGGTGATGTCAGTAATGAAAATGGGATGCATCCTGCTGTTCCCCTCCACTAGGCAGATGCTGGTGGCAGAACCCTGGGACCAGAGTGGCCAGCATCCCAGGGCTACCTTGCTCTGCCCTGCCCTGCCCTGCCCTGCCACCACGAGCCCCACAAAGGGGACAGGACCAACGGGTCAGCTCTTCTCCTCTGGAGAAGAGCAAATGTTAAAGAGTTCAGAAATGCAAAAATAATGTGTTTATAGACACAAGAATATACCTAACAAGGGCTATGTGTATATGTGTACATGTATAGGTATACCTGTATACAGAAAAAAAATGACCCCACACCAAAATGTTATCATTGAGGCTTATAGGTCATGTTTAGTTCTCTGTCCTCAACAACTGTGCGATAAGGGAGAAAAAAACTCGAAGTCACCCAAGTTGGATCTTAATCAGAAAAATGAGTTTGACAAAGGGTAGAGTGTGACAAAGGGTAGAGTGTTTACACATCTGACTTCTAGGTGCCCAGGAGCCAAACTTTTCCAGCTACCATGATCACCAGTCAGTCAAAGCCTCGCTAACTTGTCAGGGACAGGTCTTCTAAGTGGCTACCAGCAGCATGTTTGCTCTGGTGGCATCTCTGTACCAGAGGTCACTCTAGCCACAAGGATCCATGTGCCACAGGCAATTCCTCTCACTACTAAACCTGCACCAGAGGCTGAGGCAGAAGCAGAGAAAGAGCAGCAGTGGTGGGCAGGTAGGGTCATTCACCTCAGAGAAGCCAAGATGGCAGCTTTGTGGACAACCAGGTGAAACAAAGACTCCTGAAGAATGCATCCATGTAGCGCCCCGCCCCCGCAATGGCCTTGGACCTCCCAGTACAGCACATCCAGCGAACCACTGCTCAGATACCCACCGAAGAGCTGGGAGGGATTTGCATTGGTCGCCTTCTCATAGTTGGTGAGTCCTTCATAGATGACCTTCCCCACAGCCGCATAGAGGCACTCCAGCTCCTCATACTTAGAGGCAACACTGGAAGTACCTGGAACAGAAGTCAGGACTGAGCTCTGCTGTGGTGTCAGTCTCTAGCACAGCAGTCTACTGTCTACAGTCTACAGTCTACTGGGGGGACGGCACGGCCTCATCTCAGGAGCAGCTTTACCTCACCATGCCTTCCCAGAATGTGCCCCAAATACAATCTGCCAAACTGTGACCTGCTAATTACCCAACATTTGCCACAGTTTCTTCCCCTTTAATACCAATACTTAGTACCTCAACAAAATGCTAACATTCAGGGGGGTAAAGAACTGAATGTCTAAAACAGACGAAACAATGTGATGCTGTTAAGTTTCTATGTCACTTTTGTTTTTTTTTAAAGAAAGGCCACGGTAAAAGGAAGTGGATAAGGAAGCTCACTGCAGCCCCAGGGGATGCACAGCCTCTGTGACAGAGCACCGCACTGCCTGTGGCTCCCAGGGAAATGACACCTACTTGGTTCTGTTGGGAAAATGCTCATCAGGCGAGAGAGGAGGCTGTGGACAGCTCTGAGCACTTTGGTATTCCCACACGTCATACAGGCAGCAATACCCCGCTGCAGGGGCTTGAAACTGCTGAGGATAGCCTGGGACTGCAGAACACTCAGCAAGAAACTCAGCACTTCCAATCCCGTACAGATATTCCCATAGTTCACTTGATTTGGTTGCTCCTGGGATGAAGAACACAGGGTACTCACAGATTAAATTAGTACTCAAGTACAGGGTCAGAGAAACACAAATGCAACAAGTCTCAAAAGTACATAATCTGAAAAAGCTGCTTTAAAATGAACATACTAAAAAAAAAAAAAAAGCACATTAAGCCAGGCACCCTTGGCTCACCTCTGTTATCCTAGCTACTCAGGAAGCTGAGATCTGAGGATCATGGTTCAGAAGCAGCCTAGGCAAATAAACCCACAAGACTTTTATCTCAAACTAATCAGCAAAAGCCAGAATTCGTGGTGTGGTTCAAGTGGTACAGCCCTAGACATGAGTGAAAAAGCCAAGCAAGAATTTAAAGGCCTGAGTTCAAGCTAAAGTACCGGCAAATAAAAAAATAAAGTAAAATCCCAGGAAGCTAGAAATTAGAAACCTTGGTTTGTAGGAAGGACAGGCACTGCTTCATGGAATTTGCACTTTTGTGACATGCATGCATATACATGGCATGCTACATTGCCAAGCCAGCCTGACCAGAGATTGGCCAGAGGCTGAGCTTTTTTTTTTTTGGGTCAATTGTGGGTCTTGACCTCTGGGCCTGGGAGCTGTCCCTCAGCTCTTCAGCTCAAGGCAAGCACTCTACCACTTGAGCCACAGAGTCACTTCCGGTTTTCTCATAGACTTTCCTGCCCAGGCTGGCTTTGAACTGCGATCCTCAGATCTCAGCCTCCTGAGTAGATACGATTACAGGCTGAGCTACCAGCACCCCACTGAAGCTGAGCTTTTAGCAATAAATACCTATGTGAGATTGCCCCAAATGCTGGTTACCCAACAAGCCAATTCTGAAGCCCATGCAGTGCTTGAGAAATGATTACATATCCCTCATCTTACATGAGTTTTCAAAATTCAAGTTTATTGTAAAACCTATTCCATAAATCAACCTCAGATTGTTTTTCAACAGCTAAGCCAGTTTGAGAAATGTGTCCGTCACCCTGTACTCATATACTGTTTTGTAGAATGGGAACTTCTTTGTGTAACTACTTAAAGATATAATTTAAAAAATGTAAAAAAAAAGTATAAAAGATAAGAAATAAATTACAAATTTAAAAAAAGAAATGTGTCTGCAAATGCCAAGACAACTGTTACAACACTTTCACACAGGCCAACATGTATGTTCCACCCACTCCCCGTCAGCAGAGGAAAAGGCTGCTGAGCAGCCAGGGTGCGGAAAACAATCTACAGACTACAGACACGTGTTAGAGCCCACACAAGCCTCTGACCTAATACTAGCTGTATCACCTACCACAGTCATCAGCAGCTTGTCAAACCACTGCAGTTTCAGCTCCGATTTGGACCACATATCTGGTCGTAAGGCAGTCTTCAGAAGCGTGACACAACGGCGGGAGAGCACCTCCCCGGGAGAGCCAGCAGTGTTTGTGTTGTCGTTGACCTGCAAATGCAGCCGATTAAAACCAGGCTCTGAGTGTCCATGCGGGATGCCCAGCAGCCTCTGCCCCCATGGTTGCCTTCCCACAGCTGCATGGCAAGAGCTAGGTCAAGTCTGTGCCTCTGCCCCACAAGCCAGAAGGACGCATGACTGACTCACTGGTTGAGCAGTTCAGCAGTCTGCTGTTCTTAAGAAATTTTGAACTGTATCAAGATGCAATTTTTTTTTTGGTGGCCCGTATGGGGAGATGCATTATTTATTATATTTAATAACTTAAGATCTCAAAATTTAAAAAATAAGATACTTAGAAATCAATTCCATTTAGTGCTTTTGAGGTAGGGTCTGGATTAGGGATTGAACCCATAGCTTTGCACATATTAGTGCTGAACTACTTTCTTTTTTTAATCGGTTGTGGGGCCTGAACCCTGGGCTTGGGCGCTGTCCCTCAGCTCTTCAGCTCAAGGCTAGCACTCTACCTCTTGAGCCACAGCGCCACTTCCGGCTTTTTCTGCTTCTGTGATGCTGAAGAATCGAACCCAGGGCCTCATGTCTACAAGGCAAGCAACTCTACTACTGAGGCACCTTCCCAGCCCTGCTGAACCTCTTTCTAGCTCTTGTTTTTTGGTCAGTTGTGCGCCTTGAACTCTGGGCCTGGATGCTGTCCCCTGAGCTGTTTTACCGCTTTGAGCCACAGCTCCACTCCCAGTTTTTATGGTGGTTTACTGAAGATAAGAATCTCATGGACTTTCCTGCCTGGGCTGACCTTGTAGCCCTATGGTTTTTTTTGAGCTAGGGTCTCACTATGTAGAGTATAGGCTGGCCTGAACTCATGCCTGTAAACCCAATACTGGGATTACAGTCATGCCCTACTATGCATGGTTTGCATGAAAATTACACTGCCATGTACAGTTTTCTGAAAAATGAAATTAACATGGGTAACCATGACATATGCTCATAATCTCAGCACTCTGGAGGAGTAGGCAGGAGGATTATGAGTTTGAGGCCAATCCGGACAGCAATGAGAGACCCTGTCTTAAAACAAACATACAGAACAGCTCCTACCAATGAGAAGACAGTGGAGTCTGTCAGGAAAGTGACTGGCCACCCAGCACAGACATCATGCTGAGTATCACTGGTCACTTCTGCAGTCCCATACCTGACAAGCCACTCGGATGAGGAAGTTCACCACTGTGTCTGTGTGCTGTTTATCAATGGGCTTAGAAAGAAGAGAATCTGCCCCAGGCAGTGACTGGCTCCTCCCGAACACCTAGAAAAGGGTTGTTCTTTTTAACATGAAGGGAATTCTCAGCTGGAATTGTCAACATGATGCAGACTCATTCAGCAAGCAGTCAGGTGCTGGGCAGCTCAGAGGGATGGACACTGTTCTGGGCATGAGAGATACCAAGAACAGATGCCAGCAGGTAAGCCTGGGTGACCAAGGAGAGGGAGACTGGCCAGACAGTGACAGAAGAGTTACCAAGAAGAAGCTGGCAACCCAAAATGAGCAAATGGCTCTAGGCAGAAGAGCAAGGGGCCAACGAGCAAGTTCTCGCAAGGGAGGAAAGGGCATGGTGAGAAGGTGCCTGGTAACGCAAGCTGCCAGAGGACCTGCTCACTCAACACTGCGGGCTTCCACTGAGCACACAGCAAAGCCAGACTAACTTCATTTTTAGCTTGAGTTTTAAATGACTACAAGATTCACAAAGTATTATAAAAAACAGTATAGAGAGTGTAGCCTTTACACTGCTTTTTACATTCTGACCGTGTTGTGAACAATACACTTGGAATAAAGGTCCCAAGAATTTTCTTTTGTTGATGAGAAAGGTCGGAGGCTCAAGGCCCAGTGGTCAGGGAGGGATGGGGCAGGCTGGCTGCTCACAGCAGGACAGACAGGACTTGTTCTCAAGCTCATGTGGGGAGAAGGAAAGGGATGAAGTGTCTGCCTCGAGCCCTGGATGGATGTGGAGCCACTTAAGACTGGGCACTGTAGGGTGGAGAACACACACGAAGTTGCAAGTGCTAGCCAAAGGCCAATGATCTTTACTGACAGCTGAGCACAGCAACCAGGGCTGCCGTCTCTACAAGGGCTGAGTAAGAAGCCCAGGACCATCTTGGAGGCTCCCCTGCAGAAATGCAAAAAGGCACAATTATCTTTTTTAAATTTGATCAAATGTGTGTATGTTCTCAACTTTCTTGCTTCAAGTATTTTTTTTCTTTTTTCTTTTGGTGGTGAAGCTCACACCCAGGGCATGCTCCTCCACATCCCCAGCCCTCACAGAGATTCTCTTGAGGCCATTTAGCTAACTACCTACCAACACAATTCTAATGGTATTAGGTGAATGGGAAGAAAAATGTGCCTAGAAACTTGGGGACAAGCCTGAGGGAAAAATGCCCTGGGGCTGCCAACTGCCTCACCAGTGCACAGGCCCACAAGGAAAGCATTTGCTCTTACTGCACTGATGGCACCGGTGGCCGTCCGGAAGCGCTTCACTTCCTGGGCAGAGTCCACAGACAGGCCTCTCTTAATGGAGGATGAGACAGAGTTGACGCCTTCTCCACTGGAATTTGGGTCCATATCTGAATCCGGCTTAAACACACACACACACCTGATTTACTGACCAATTTCCAGAGGTATGAGAAACATAAGTAGGGGCAACACCCAGGCCTGATCTTCCTACCTGCTGGTCCTTGATCCGCTGCAATTCCCACTTGATGACGACCTCAGACAAGTCCACAGCCAGCCTCCTCTGCTCAATGGTCACACTGGGCGTGAAGCCCAGTCTCTGCATGGCACTGACCATGTGCTGGACCAAGTGATGCCGCACTGGATAGTACACCTGTGGGCACAGGTGTCCCATCAGGGAGGACCTTGGCCCTACATGTGCATACACACACACATGCACATACCCACACCCCCACAGCCTCCCACTCATTCTCTCTTCCTCGGTATGTCCTATTACCTATTTCCCCCCTGAATCTCAACAGAATGATACAACTCAACACTTTCATACCATAGTTACAGTATGTTAAAAACCTAAACCAGGAGCCATTGGCTCAGGTCTACAATCCCAGCTGTCCTGGAGGCCAAGATCTGAGGACCAAGGTCCAAAGCTAGCCAGGCAGATAATTCTGAGAGACTCTGTCTCCAACTAATCAGCAAAAAAGCCAAACTGGAGGCATGGCTCAAGTGGTAGAGTATTAGTCGAGTAACAAGTTGAGCAAGAGCGTGGGGCTTTGGGGCCCTGGGTGCAAGGCCCAGTACTAACTCAAGTAAGGAAAATCTAAATTCTTTACATAGATAGGGAAAACTAGTCACTTATCTCACCTATGTCAAACTTCAGGCTTGACATCATAAAAGTTTAAGACGTACTAAAAGGGAAATTTCCAATTATAAAAGAGCTGGCTACAAAAACATGAGCTTTGACTCAAATCTTTCCTCTTTCCAGTCTACAAGAAATCCCCAAAAGTGGGTGATTTGGTTATTGAGGAGCTGCTCTCAGCATGAGTATCTCATGAGATTTTTTTTACTTATGATAACTACTTTCTACCTAACTCCTTAAGAAGTTACAATAAAATGTACTCTTTACCTGGCTTATTTAACTATACCCCCCCCTTTAGATAACTTTTAGAACATTTTTTAAAAAAAAGTTAAAACACTATGTCTTCATAGTCAAGAAAACAAGTAGAAAGAGACACACAAGACATTGTCTATACTACCACCACCCTTCCATGTTCTTACAGCCATACCCAAATCAATCAATGACCACTTTACTACAGAAAAAGACAAAGAAGAGCAATATCAATGCCTGAAAATGCATTCCACATGTATCTTTGTACACACCTTAAAATGCTGAACAATCAGATGCAAAATATGCACCAGCTGTGGGACCGTGTGTCCCTCCTCCACAATGATCTTCCTGGTCCAGTGTGTCAGCATCTGGTGCCCATCCTCCATGCGGGCAGGCACTGCAGGAGTCAAGATAGCCATCGCTTGTCTGACTATTGCTCGGGCTTCCATTGCATGAGCTTTGAGAAGACTGTGGAAAACCTGAACAGGAAAAAAGTTTGTATGGGGGTGAGAATGATGGTTTCAAAGAACGAAACACCCAGGATGTGTTATTTTTGCAAAGCTATTTAAAAAATCCTCAGGATTCTCATTAGAAACAGATTAGTTTCTAGTATTTATTGAGCACCTCCTCTGTGCAGGTGCAGGGTAAAAGCCGGGGCACCCAGAAACAAGAGCCAGCTCTTTGCAGAGATCTTCCTTTTAGACTAAGTAGCAGCAAGCTAGCTGAGGCACATAGATTTTACCACATTGTAGTGTGGGAAATGGAGGGAAAGGTGCCAAACTAGGGGGAGTGGTAAACAGCAATTTTCAGTTCTTTTCAGTTCTTCAAATGAGATAAAGGCCTGAGGTAAGGTCATAGGAACACAAGGAAGCCCACCTGACTGCACTGAAGGTAAGGGGACAGGAACGGTACGGGAATCAAGAGGACTGCTGACCAGAAAAGGCCCTCGGGTTGCTTTCTGGGACAAATGGGATAAAGCAGTACCTGTCCCAGCGCCTGGAGTTGCACCTCAAGTGTCTATAGATGGTGAGACTGGCTTTCTGGGTATTGAGTTTAACATCATGAAAATTCACAAGTCAGGGAAAACTGGGAGAGGTGGTCTCAGGACAAGAGCTGTAACTGCCCAATGCTGAACGTGTGTAATTCCCACACAGTGACACTGATGCCTGTGTGTGGAACCAAGACTCAACCTAGGGCTGCCTGCTATCCGAACCCAAGTCACCAGTGGGGCTCAGAGAAGATATTCTGAAGTGATTCACACAGCAAACAGGTAGTAAGACATAGGTCCAAAGAGTCTGTCATTTTTGGCTGAGAGGAGTGGCCAAGCTGGGACTCTTGACCTCACTTGAGCCCCCTTCCAGGTCAGCCGGAGCAAGAGTTTCAATGTAATGTTAAAGTAACCAAAATGCACTGAGTAGAGGAGCTTGAGGTGGAAAGAGACATTCTGTTTCAAGAACAAGGCTTTTAAGGAACCAAAAGGAAGGGCACTAACTAGGGACAAAGGTGACATGGAGGAATTATAGTATGCTTTTTCTTTTTTTTTCGTGGGGCCTGAACTCTGGGCCTGGGCGCTGTCCCTCAGCTCTTCAGCTCAAGGTGAGCGCTCTACCACTTGAGCCACAGCGCCACTTCCGGCTTTTTTCTGTTTGCTTATGTGGTGCTGAGGAATCGAACCCAGGGTCTTGAGCATGCAAGGCAAGCGCTCTACCACTGAGCCACCTTCCCAGCCTGCTTTTTCTTTTTTTACTCAGTTATTCTTTCACTGTGCACAAAGACACATTAACATCTGAACCATCTTCAGCTCTGCAGTCCAGCAGCATCCAACATGATTAAATCTTCTGCAATCACCCCTCCTCCAGAACTATTACTTCATCTTCCCAAACTGAAACTTTCCCATTAAACACTAATTCCCATTCCTCACTCTCTCCAGAGCCCAGAAGCCTCTGTTCTACCTCTACAACTTTTACTAAATACATCATAAATGCCATCATGCAGAATTTTTTCTTCTTATTTTTGTAAGAAGGAAGAAGGCAGAGATGAGCTCTTCTAAAACTGATACTAGGGAAAAAACAGAAGAAAAGGAGCAACTGAGGCTGTTTGAGGTGCCAGGTAATACCAGGCTGGAGTATCAGAGGGAGGGAGAGAGCCCAGCAAAGCACCTGGAGGACAATTTTCTTATGTATTGCAAATTTGGCAATAATGTGGGCCAGAAGTAAGTGTCCGCTGTATTTGCAAGCAGGATCCACACAGGCCTTGGAGAGCAGGCAGGGCCACGCGAAAGTCATGAGGCGGCGCAGCTTGCTGTTGCGGTTCTTGTTGTTGTCATGGATGTGGTGGGGGGCGTGCTCCACCAGCAAGGTGGCGTACTGCAGAAGGTAGATGCGCAGGGAATCCAGCATGTCTGCTTGCTTCTCTGGGTCCAAGACCTGATGGCAAAAATGAGAGGAAGGAACTCATTGCTGATTTGAACTGTTAGTAAAACTGGCAAGCAAGCAAGCAAGAGGCCCAAGTTCAAATCAAACAAATTCCAGGCACCATAAATGACCTAGTACTTGTTCATTAAGGTGGTGATTACACATCACAGTGGCTCTTAGGTAGACTTTTCAAAGCTGATGTCCACAAATGAACCCACATTGGGAATTTTTCTGACTGACTGGAATCAATCAAAGCAAGGCACCTTCAACAATGTATTAGTTATAATTCCAACAGAGTGCTCTGTCATGAACATAATCATGAAAACTAAAAGCCTTGGACAACTAAATGGAACAACGTATTTCCATGACCCCCTCACACATGAACACATATTGTGTCATCTCCAAGTCCTTGCTCTTGAGATACCACTGGGAATCCTACCTTGGTAATAAATACACTAGTGATGCTCTCTGGGTTGTCTCCCTCAGGATTGGGAGGTCCTAAGAGCTGCTCTCCTTCCCCCTTCTCAAAGCTGTATAGGAAAGCAGGATTCAAGATATGCTGCAGAACCTACAAAAAGAATAAAAAAAGATCAGGGTAGGATGGAACAACAACTGTGGCCAGCCTTAATCATGAAGTCAGAACTAACCAAGTCATCATATGATGACTGTCAAGGCAGCTAAAAACTTAAGGAAGAGGCCAAACCCAAGGTAGCCAACTCTCATTGCAAACTAATCACCTTCTCAAAAGAAAACTAACAACCCACTTCTCAACAAACACTGGTTAGCCAACAAACCTGCTGTGTCCCTTGGCAGCGGGTCTTCTGAGCAGCCCAGAAGGTTTAAGTGTCAAAAGACACAGGGCAGAGCTTCCTAGGAAGCCAACCTAGACACCCACATCATCTACCAAATAATCTTCAGTCTCACTGGGGGCCTCACCTTCGCTTTCAGTTCATCTCCAAAGTTGGGATCATTGAAGTCCACAAAGCGAAAAAATAGGGCACGTTTTTGAGTGATGCTGTAATTTTTGGGAATCTCTTCTTCCATGTACTCCTTTAAGAATGTCATATTGCAGAGAAAACGACCAGTGAAGGCTCTAAGCAGCTGAAACAGCAATTCTATATCTCCATAATTCCTTCTGAAGGGTTCAGAATAGAAAAAAAAAAAAAAAAGAAAAAGAAACAGATTAACCAGAGGAAAATTTTGTAACTATGGATTACCCAACTTGCCTCTTCAATGGCTCGAAGTTAAAGCCTACTCTGTAAAATTCCAGCCAACTACATCCATTGAATAAAAGCTTACTAGATGCACCTACTTGCAGTAATTCAGCAGACAAAAGGCCAGCAATTTGGGCTCCTTCCAGTTGGTGGCAGCCATGTTCTCTTTGCGGTGTCTTTCTTGAAATGTCTCACTAACCCACACTCTTCTCAGCTGGCTCACCAGAGAATGCTGATTGGCCAGCCAGGTGTCATCATTTTTAACAATGATACTGATGATCTGCAGCAGAAAAAACTATAAAGGAACTGTGGCTCAATCACACTGTGGGGGTTAGGAGACTAACCAAGAGATTCTACCTTGATGGCCTGGAACTGGAGGTCCAGGCGCAGGGTACTGGTGCTAGGAGAGCCAGGGCGCACAGCAGCCTGTGCACCACCTGGCAGCAACAGAGTGATGAACCTGTTGGGGTTAGCAGCCAATACATCTCGCAGAGGCCTGGCATCTTTGTGTTTTAAAAAACTCTGAAAATAGAACAAAGAGGAAAACTAATTTGGGCAAATCAAACTCACAGAACATGAATTCATAGGTCTGTGCTAATTCTCTATAGGTAGGTTTAAAAAAAAGTATCACTACAAGCACCTTTGAAAAATAAATGAAATGGAGCTAGAAATGGAGCTGTGGCTCAAGTGGTAGAGCACTAGACTTAAGCAAAAAAGCTCAGGACCCAGGGTCTGAGTTCAAGCACTGGGACAACACGAACACACAAACACACGAACACACACACGAACACACACACGAACACACACACACACACACACACACACTGTTTAAATAGTAACCACACATCACAATGATGATTTTAGAATCCTAACAGAGTATTTACTTATATACACACAACCAAACAATGATGTCTGCAATACTCAAATGTCCCTGAGAAACAGGGATGCTGACTGGAAAAATGTGAATTCAACGTGACACTGGGCATACAACTGATACAGTTTTACTGGGGCCAGACTGCTCCAGGTCCTACCATGAACATCCGGCTCCACTGTGGATCATTCAGCGTTGCTTCCATCATGAACAACTCCACTGTCTGCGAGGGGTGTCGCGTCAAGAACTTGATCAGAGGCTCTCTGAATGGACTTCCTGCCTACGAAACATGGGCAAAGCCCCACCTATGAGACATGGGCAAAGCTGCATGCCACACTCCCGACTCATGCACCTGATCACATGGTGAGGTACAGTAACACACACATTAGGAGGCTAAGTCAGGAAGATTGGGAGTTTGAGGCCTATCTGAACTACATAGATAACTTTTTGGGGAAAAAAAATCAATTGAAAACACATTTTTTAAAAAAGTACATTCATTTCCCATTCAACTAGACTAAAAACTATAAGCAAATAATTTCCCTATTAAAATGTAACAAGCTGGGAACTGGTGGCTCATGCCTATGATTCTAGTTACTCAAGAGGCTGAGATCTGAGGAGTGTGGTTTAAAGCCATCCCAGGCAGAAAAGTCTGTGAGAGTTTTCTCTCTTAATAAACTACTCAGAAAAAGCTAGAAGTACCAAGCACTAGTGGCTCATGCCTGTAATCCTAGCTACTCAGGAGGCTGAGATCTGAGGATCATGGTTCCAAGCCAGCCTGGACAGGAAACTCCATGAGACTCTTATCTCCAATAAACCACTAGAAAACCAGAAGTGGCACTGTGGCTCAAGTGGTAGAGTGCTTGTCTTGAGCTGAAGAGTGCAGGAACAGCGCCCAAGCCCAGAGTTCAAGCCCAATGACTGACAAAGAGAAAAAAAAAAAAAAGCCAGAAGTGGGGCTGTGGCTCAAGTGGTAGAGAGTTAGCCTTGAGCAAAAGCAGCTCAGGGACAGGACCCAGGCCCTAGTTCAAGCCCCAGGACTGGCAAAAAATAAATAAAATGTAACAAAATGAAGCTAAGGCCCCAGTGGTTCATGTATGTATGCCTAGCTACTCAGGGCTGAGATCTGAAGGTCCTGATTCCAAGTCAGCAAGATCAAAATCTAAGACTCTTGTCTCCAGTTAAGCAGCAAAAAGCCAGAAGTGGAGCTGTAGTTCAAGTGTTAAGAGTGCCAGCCTTGAGCACAGAGAGACTTAAGAGATAGAGCCCAGGCCCCAAGTTCAAACACAGAACCAGCAAAAAAAAATCAACAAAAAAAAACAACTAGTTCTGGCACTAAATAAACAAAACAAACTGAAATGCAAATCATAAGCAGCAGATAAAGAATCCTTCAATGTGTTACTGATCACAAAATATTATTTATCCAAATGAACTCCAAGAAATGGAAACAAGGTTTTTTACTTTTTTTCTAATTTTGTTTTCTTTTCTTTTTGTTCATTTGTATGTTTCTGGAAGTATAAGAAATGGACGAACAAGGGTGGAAGAATGCAGCAGTGGTACACACTGGATAGTGTGTACTGGATACTATGTGGAAAATGAAATATATAACTTGTGAATGAGGGATAGGAGGGAAAAACTGGGAGTAAGGGAAGGGGTGACATTGTCCAAAAAGAAATGTTCTCTTTACCTGACAGTAACCCCTCTGTACATCACTTTTATAATAATTTTTTAAATTTTAATTAAAAAATAAAGTTCCTAGATGGGCATCCACTAGTGGCTCACGCCTATTATAAACCTAGCTACTCAGGAGGCCGAGATCTGAGGATCGAGGTTCAAAGCCAGCCAGCCCAGGCAGGAAAGTCCATGAGACTCTTATCTCCAATAAACCACTAGAAAACTATAAGTGTCACTGTGGCTCAAGTGGTAGAGCACTCGCCTTGAGCTGAGGGATAGTACCTAGGCCCAGAGTTCAATCCCCACAACTGACAAATAAATAAATAAATAAAGATCCTGCTTGTCATCAGTGAAATAAAAAAAATAAAATTTAAAGTCCCCCAGATCCATCCCAAGAGACCCTTCTACTTTCTATGTCCTGGATCTTCTCAATAGTGATGGTTGAAATAAAGATATGAAGACTTATACCATTAGAAAAAAAATCTCCTGGGCTGGGATGGTGGCTCAGTGGTACAGTGCTTGCCTTGCATGCATGAGGCCCTGGGTTCGATTCTCAGCACCACATAAGCAGAAAAAGCTGGAAGTGCCATGGTGGCTCAAGTGGTAGAGAGCTAGCCTTGAGCTGAAGAGCTGAGGGACAGCGCCCAGGCCCAGAGCTCAGGCCCCATGACTGGCAAATAAATAAATAAATAGGAAAAAAAATCCCTCAGTTTGGTCCATACCTCAATCAACATGGCTCGCTCTGTTTTCATTACAACCTCTAACAAAGGCTTGACCAGAGTTTGAGGTGCAGCTGGGATCAGATGAAATAGGTTTATAATTGCTGAACAAATCTTCATTTCCTAATAAAGAAAACCAGAAATCATAAATAGGCCAATTAGTTTTGTGAGTAAGACAGCACTACAGACCCGACTACAGTCTAGCTACATTTGCAAGGCTGGCCATCAAAGCAAAGAGTTAACATGGAAAAGCCACAACTTACCCATCTTAAATTAGAACTGTCTTTTGTCCAGAGGAAACTTTCTGCCCCTAGCCTTCAGTTCAGATGTCATTAGGGGATGGGAAGAATGGAGGACCTGAGGGGACATCACTATTTACACCTATGTTGGAGGTGATGTGGGGGTCTCCTGTGGTAATCTCTCTCAGTCTCCTCACTTTGCTATACCAACTGTCTCGGGGACTTCTTAATTCTCTAAGGGATGAATGCACAGACTTCTCTCATCCTTAAAACCTAGTCAAGTTAAGTTCCTCAGAAAATACTTGGAAGTGTTTAACCTACCAAGTATCAGTGTAAACAAATGACTGAAGATGGAACTAAGCATTTGTCAACCTGGCCTCAAAATGAAGCTGACCAAGTGTCAGCTGAATCACATGGAAGTGTTTGAATGTCAGGCTCTGCGCTTTTTCATGGCTGATTGCTATATGGGTCATTCAGTAGCCCTCTCTCAAAGGCTTTGGCTTTGCCTCTGCTGTTCTAAGGACGCTTCATGGCCACAGGGAAGGAAGGAGTCCAGTACACACCCTATATCATGAGCATGGTGGTGTGTGGGGCTGTCAGCAGGTAAAATGGAGATAATAAACACTAGTCAGGATGGGCATATTCCCAGCAGCATTGAAGATACTTTCCATACATTCTCTTTTTTTTTTTTTGGTCGGTCGTGGGGCTTGAACTCTGGGCCTGGGCGCTGTCCCTCAGCTTTTCAGCTCAAGGCGAGCGCTCTACCACTTGAACTACAGGGCCACTTCCGGTTTTCTGGTGGTTTATTGGAGATAGGAGTCTCATGGTCTCTCCTGCCCGGGCTGGCTTTGAACCGCGATCCTCAGATCTTAGCCTCCTGAGTAGCTAGGATTACAGGCGTGAGCCACCAGCGCACGGCTCATACATTCTCTTTCAAAGATATAGAAGGGACAAAGGCTAGAAGTGAGAAAAATTGATTCATTCTGATGTCTGCCCCACCTTTAAAGCTCTTAAGATAAAATAAGTTCTGTCCTCAAATATTGCATTTTAAGATGATCTTTAATGGCATACATTTTTTGTTTTGCAACAGTCATAAAAGTCCTTGTTTGGTCTATTACAATACCACTGGGAGGCTGAAACAGGTGTTATTATCCCCATTTTCCAGAAATGAGAAAACTCAGAGCTTGACAATGTGATTACTATATGGTGTGTGATGTGAATACCTGTGCGTGCCCGTGAGGGAAGGGTGGAATGAGTGTGAGAATTGGCAGGGGCGCGGGACAGTAAGGCTTGAAATTCAAGACAGTAAGTTAGCAATTCTGAAGGAAATACAATCATTCCCCATCATTTCCAGCAGAAGTATCCTCTGCAGTTTCCTCTCAGGAGGTTGTTACATATACATCTATGAATATATATATATCAACAGCAAGATAGGAAAACCAACTCAATTTTAAATAGTACTGAAATATTGCAATTACACGTAGAAAACAAAAGAACTTAAGACTCTTGCTTAAAATGTCCTAATAGAGAACATGCGTGGCATCCGGACAGGTCACAGCAAGGACACTAATACAACTCTGCCACAGACAGACAGTACAGGTCACCGCACTCAAAGGCACAAGGCACTCTGTCCACTACAGAATCACAACACAGCTAACGAGTCACAGCAAAACCAAATGCAACAAAACCCCCTCCTGCAACTCCACTCAAAGTCTCACCTCTACCCCTTCCATGGCAGGCTGAACCAAAACAAAAATTACAGCATGAAAAAAGGCAACAAAAAAGTAAAAAAAAAAAAAGAAAAAAGAAAAAAAGAAAAAAGAAACAAATCAAAGTGTTCTTCACATTGCAAGTCATAAACTGACTTTTAATAGGTTGTTCTCACCTCAAACTGACAGAATGGAGACAAGGAACATCTCCCGCACTCTGAAATGCTTTCCTGAGGATGGGGAGGAAAATCATCTTTTCTATTTATGTCATTTACATTAAAAACTTCCCACATTCTCAAACACAATAAGGGTTATTGGGGTTAACAGGACAGTAAAGACACAATTATTAGAAAGCACAGAATAATTAACAAATGCTCAGCAGCAAAACAAAAACAAAAAACAAAAAAAAAAATCCACCACATCTCAGATGTGTCAACACGGCCCTTTTCATAGTCTAACATGGTATTTCTTCCCTAAGTTTAACATTAAAACCAGGATTTCAGCATTTTTGTGTAAAGGGAGAAATGGTGAAACCTAGTGGTTATGTAAATACCTTTTAAAAAGACTTCTTGCTGGGTGCTGGTGGCTCATGCTGGTAATCCTAGCTATTCAGGAGGCTGAGATCTGAGGATTGTGGTTCAAAGCCAGCCTGGGCAGGAAAGTCTGTGAGACTCTTATCTACAATTAACCACCAGAAGTGGCACTGTGGCTCAAGTGGTAGAGCGCTAGCCTTGAGCTAAAGAGCTCAGGGACAGCAACACAGACCCAGAGTGAAAGAACCACAATCAACAACAACAACAACAAAAAAAACCCCAAACACCTCTCTCAGGGTAATTTGAGATTTCAGGTGAAGTACTAAGGCAATTTAAAAAGAAAAACAATCGGGGCTGGGAAGGTGGCTCAGTGGTAGAGCACTTGCCTTGCATGCCTGAGGCCCTGGGTTCGATTCCTCAGCACCACATAAGCAAAAAGAAAAAAGCC